TAGGTATTGGAAACCCCATTTTAAATCAACTTGCATATTAAGTAAAGGCAAACAAACATGATTGATTAGTCTTTATTCCACCACTATATTACTAGCTTTACAAATTCTTGGAATTAATATCACCTTGAGTGCCCTAAAAACAAAGAAATAAAGCTTTATTGCCCAAAAAGAAAGAGAGGAGCAAAGTAAAAAATAAGGTCATATTTTAAGAAGAGCATAAAGAAAAATTGCAACATGAAGTCATTTTCTAATCTTAAAGAGGGCCCAAATTCTTCTTTCTTTTCACCCAATTGGACCCTTCCTCAATCCCCTCCCCTTCTCCATCTCTTTATATTCCACTAATACCCTTCTCACTTTCACTCTTATATTTCCTCATAATTAAACCTTTTTGTTCTTCTTCTCCTCAAAGTTTGAGAGAGAGAAAGAGAGAGAATGGTGGGTTCTTGAAGCTTCTCGCATTTTTTCTTTCTTTTAATCGTTCCAAGAAATCAACACACCATTTTGTGTGGGAGATGATGTTTCCTTTTATAGAAATATATGTCTTTTCTCAAAGTTTTTATAAGTTTTCTTTTTGTTATTTGCCATATAACAGGAAGTGGAAGAAGAGGTCTCAAGATGGGAAGGCTACGCCGATTGGAGAAACAGAGCCGCTGTAAAAGGCCGTCACGGCGGCATGCTCGCCGCTTCTTTTGTCTTAGGTTAGTATCAAATTTCCAAATTTACCCCTCCTTTTCTCCTCCCTTTAAACTCTGGTGGATCATGTGATTGATAAATTTATTTTGTTTTCTTCTTTATTTCTTGTAATCAGTGGTGGAGATATTAGAGAATCTAGCGTATCTGGCGAATGCAAGTAATCTCGTGTTGTACCTAAGAGAGTACATGCACTTGTCTCCATCGAAATCAGCGAATGACGTCACCAATTTCATGGGCACAGCTTTTCTCCTTGCTCTTCTTGGTGGTTTCCTCTCCGACGCTTTCTTCTCCACTTATGTCATCTTCCTCATCTCTGCCTCTATCGAGTTTCTGGTAAAAACCTACTTAACTCTCTTATATTTACTGATATGTTTACATTTGTTAGTTCTCATAATTTGAAAGAATTTTTACTCAAGAAACAACAACAAATGGCTTAAAAATCATTTCCCTATAAAATTCAGAAATCTAACTAATTTATCCGTTAGAAGATGATTAACAAATTACTTTTGCTTCCTCTATCTTTCGCTTAAGTTTGAAGTTATTAGCGTTGACTTTTTTAAATGGCTAGCCACCAAAACAATAAACCCATTCACATTACTACACCAGAGACGACCCATCTGATAGATAGATCTACTTGCATATCTATCACTTTATCTTTAAAGATATAAATTTTCATTACAAAAAAGAAAACAAAAAGTATGCATATATGGTTAAAAAGGCTTTTGTAAGCAAAATCCAACGAACCATGCGTGCATTGGGATGCTGATAAAAAAGGACAAAGCAAGGAGCGTGATTTTGATACGGTACCGTATCAATACACAACGCCCTACTCCCAACACGACACACATGTGACCTACGTGACACCATCAATTAAAAAATCGTATGTTGGTGCGGGACCCATCGTATTCAGTAGCTCTTCATTTTTTTTAACCGTCACTGTCTTAGGGTCAAAAAAGGAAATATAAAAAAGCTCTTTCCTGAGTTTCAGCAGTAACACAACACTAAAGAGTCCTCCTTTTGTTTTTGTGGTATCTTGTCTTTATATTTGATAGGGTATGAAACTATAATGTCCACTTATATAACATCTGCCACTCGTACCCTCGTGACTCTTCCATATAATGGTACAAAAGACAAAACAAACTTCTAGTTCAAAAGTACGGTTGGGCTCTTAATGCTTTGTCTTTTCTTATATTTTGCTTTTGTGTAGCGTTTGGTGTTATAATCCTGACGCAAAACGCAAACGTATATCTACCACCCATTGTTGATGGATTCTGATAGATATCATGTTTGGCTATACACTAAGATATCATAACGACATAATAATCTCAAATTAAATCATTATAAAACTATAGCAGATTAAAAAAAGAGTTCATTATCTTAAAATAGGCCACTATATCTTCTACTTAAGAGTACATTTTAGATTTGAGTCATTTACATATATGATTTATATATATATATACATGTCTAGCTAGAAACAACCTATAATGTTATGATTGGATAATATATGGCAATTCATCTACAAGAGTCCAAAACATAAATAACCCTGCTGTTACGTCAGTGTAACCGAAGTTATTTCTTCAAGAAGATAGCATCGCCCAATAAGAAGACCACACGAAAAATTAGGTTTCGTCCATACCTCATTTAATAACGACGTTTCATCGTTCCTAACGTTTTCAATAATTTGTATGAATCACGTCGCTACTCTGACTCTCATGAACCAGAAAGGGTTAAACTCACTCACGTGCTCCTCACATGCCCTGGGTCCCATATTTTCCTTTTGCAACTTCCAAAAAAACAGTGTCTCCAATGATTTTAAGTTTCTAACCAAATATACATAATTTTAGCCAATAATGATTATAATACGGTTTGGGATACGTGCAGGGATTGATCGTACTCACGATCCAAGCTCGTACACCTTCCTTAATGCCACCATCGTGCGATGGTCCCACGTGTCAAGGTGTGAGTGGTTCGAAGGCGGCAATGCTGTTTGTGGGATTGTACCTTGTGGCTTTAGGAGTGGGAGGGATAAAAGGGTCATTACCATCTCACGGAGCAGAGCAATTCGATGAGAGTACACCTAAAGGTCGGAAACAAAGGTCAACGTTCTTCAACTACTTCGTGTTCTGTCTAGCTTCTGGAGCACTCGTGGCCGTCACGTTCGTTGTTTGGTTAGAAGACAACAAAGGATGGGAATGGGGATTTGGTGTTTCTACCATTGCCATTTTCATCTCGTTTCTCATCTTCCTCTCTGGTTCAAGCTTTTACAGGAACAAGATCCCATGTGGAAGTCCTCTCACCACAATCTTGAAGGTTTAATCTTTTTAATGATTGACTTTTGACATTGAAAAGAAACGTGTGTTCTAAGTAATGTATATGATTTGTTTGATTCAGGTTCTTCTTGCGGCTTCGGTTAAGAGCTGCGCGAGTGGAAGTTCAAGTAATGCGATTGTGAATTTGGCTATTAGTCCCCCTAATCATTGTGTACCGAAGGGGAAGAAAGAAGTTGCTGTGAACTCAGAAGAAGGACTTGAAAAGCCGCGTCATGAAGAAGCTGTGCCTCCTCAGACACAACTAACCAATAGTTTGAGATTCTTAAACAGAGCTGCGGAGGAGAAACCGGAACATAGATTGTTAGAATGCACTGTCCAACAAGTGGAGGATGTAAAGATTGTGCTTAAAATGCTCCCGATATTTGCTTGCACCATCATGCTCAACTGTTGCTTAGCTCAGCTCTCAACATTCTCCGTCCAACAAGCTGCATCGATGAACACAAAGATCGGAAACCTAAAGATTCCTCCAGCTTCATTACCAGTCTTCCCCGTCGTGTTCATCATGATCCTCGCGCCTATCTACGACCATCTCATTATCCCATTCGCTAGAAAAACAACCAAAACCGAAACAGGAGTCACTCATCTGCAAAGAATCGGAGTAGGGTTAGTACTCTCGATATTGGCCATGGCGGTTGCAGCTCTGGTTGAGATCAAACGCAAGGGAGTGGCCAAAGACGCCGGGTTGCTTGACTCGCACGAAACCTTACCGATCACTTTCCTCTGGATCGCGCTTCAGTATCTTTTCCTAGGGTCAGCTGATCTGTTCACGCTAGCTGGTTTGCTAGAGTATTTCTTCACAGAAGCACCATCCTCTATGAGATCTTTAGCTACATCGCTCTCGTGGGCTTCTTTGGCAATGGGGTATTACTTGAGCTCGGTGATCGTTTCAGTAGTGAACAGCATAACAGGTAGCTCAGGGAATACACCTTGGCTCAGAGGAGAGAAGATAAACCGTTACAAACTAGACTACTTCTACTGGCTAATGTGTGTTTTGAGTGCAGCTAACTTCTTGCACTATCTCTTCTGGGCAATGCGTTACAAGTACAGATCAACAGGTTCGAGAAGTTAAATCGGTTTGTCCGCTTTTAATGTTTTTTTTGGTTAGAGAGTGAAGAGCAACAAAAAAAAAAATTGTTTTTTTACTTCATCGGCTGATATATAAGAGATGAAATGGGGACAAATTAGTGATGATAGTAAATAGTGGAGGGATTGGAGTTTTTTTCCTTTTTTTTCTCTAATCGTTGGACAAGGAATGTACAGCCAATGATGATTTTAACTTGTATGAATTATTTAGTCTTACTTTGAATTGTTTCTTGTGCTGTACGAAATTGATGAGCCAAGCTTAACGTTTAATATTATTTCACAAAGGGTGGATACAAGGCTAGGTTTTACTTCCGTGTGTTGAATACTTTCACTAATCACTAGTTGCTCTCACCAAAATACTGAGAAGTGGATTTAGTGAGAAAAAAAAAAACTATGCTTTTGTGTGTGTGTGTGTGTGCATCTGTGAAATTTCTGAGAAAACGATGAGTAAAGAGGCCCAAACATTGTTGAACGCTTTACATGGGCCTAGAAGAGAATAAGGAAATATAAACGTGTTGACATTAGTCGGATAAGCTCCTTTTTTTCTTTTTTGAATTTATCTCTCAAGTGCCAACTAAAATATCTTATAAATAGAATAAACAAATTTGGAGTTGACAAAAAAAAAAAAACAAATTTGAGGAATTTATAGTAGTGGTGCAAATCAAAACAGCATCAGACCTACCACTTTCTAAACAAACTCGGTTTCGTCGTGATAACACTTAATTACCCGATAAAGGCAAAATTAACAAAAGTGATTCCCAACGACATAGAAGTAAAGGTTTTACTAAATTGATAAAATAAAAAAACGTAGTTAAAAAAAAGCCCTTACCAAAAAATTAAATAAAATTAGACACCTAATAAGTAATTTCGCCGAACTTTCCTTCGTCCTTCCTTGTAATTTCCTCCAAGTTTCTCCCTTTTTTTCTTTATTGCTTTGCTTATATTTGCGTCTCTTTGTTCTCTAATCACAGTTTTGTGTAATTTCCTTGATATTCCGCTCGTCAATCCTCTCGTCTTCTCGGTAACTAATTTTCTTTTGTTACTGTTGATTTTGTGGGTTTCGTGCTCTTTCGTGGACCCCTTTTGTACTCCGTTGACAGAATCTTGTCGATTTTTGGGTCTCATTCTTAGGTTTTCTTGTATGTGGGTTTTCTAGAAGACGAATAGGGTTTCGGGTATTTTGTTCAATTCTTAGGTTTTATTTTCAAATAGACCGAACATTCTTGATGATTGCGTTGTTAATTTCTGCTAATATCTAATTGCAGAGTCAATATTTTAAGGTCATCTTATAGAATCTGAGTCTACTTGACGTAGAAAAAAAATGGGTTTCGAAAATTATAATAGTTTTCGTTAAAAAATCTTATCTTTCGATAGAAGAGGAGACAAATTTGAATTTTTCTTTGACTTTTTGTATGTTTCAGAATCTTTGCCTTGTTCCTTACTTTTTGTTCTTTTCTTTGACAGATATTTATACTTTGGCTCCAAAGCTTTGTAAATTGTATCTCCTTGCTTTGTTACGCTTTGTGATGTTCTGTTTACATTTGGTTGATTGATTCAGGAAAGAAAATATTATGGGTCAAGTTTTGGGATGTGTCCAAGTTGATCAATCGACTGTAGCAATCAAAGAGACTTTTGGGAAATTCGACGACGTTCTTGAGCCAGGATGTCACTGTTTGCCATGGTGCTTGGGAAGTCAAGTCGCTGGTCACCTTTCACTGCGTGTTCAGCAGCTCGATGTTCGCTGCGAGACGAAAACTAAGGTCTCTCTTTTGTGTCTCCATTATCTAATGCTTTGAGACATTGAACGTTTTGTAATGATTTTTTGTGTTCTTTGTTTATTTTAGGATAATGTGTTTGTCACTGTTGTTGCTTCCATTCAATACCGTGCCTTAGCGGAGAGTGCTCAAGATGCTTTTTACAAGCTCAGCAACACGAGGAATCAGATTCAAGCTTATGTCTTTGATGGTTTGTTTTCAGATATTCTTCCTTTTTGTTTCTTGTTTCTTTGTGATGTTGCGTTTTGCCTAAAAGTAAACAACTCTCCATTGATTTGCTTTTGTGAAGTGATCCGAGCAAGTGTACCTAAGCTGGATCTAGACTCAACCTTTGAGCAAAAGAACGACATTGCAAAAACCGTTGAGAGTGAGCTTGAAAAGGTGAACTAATCTACTTTCAAAAGCCATCTCCTTTAGCAAAAAATTTGAAAGCTTTGCAGAAAATGAAATACATTAAACTCCATCTGCTGTTATGTATAATTATAGGCTATGTCCCATTACGGGTATGAGATAGTCCAGACGCTTATTGTGGATATCGAGCCAGATGTGCATGTCAAGAGGGCAATGAATGAGATCAATGCCGGTATGCTCACTTGTTGATATATATATATATATATATACAAAGCTTTCGACTTTTATCTGCTGAAAATCTTAAACATGTTTTTGGTTCTGTTTCTTGGGATACGCAGCTTCGAGGATGAGAGAGGCGGCGAGTGAAAAAGCTGAGGCAGAGAAGATACTTCAGATCAAGAGAGCAGAGGGAGAAGCTGAATCGAAATACCTTTCAGGTATGGGTATAGCCCGTCAGAGACAAGCCATTGTGGATGGTCTGAGAAACAGTGTGCTCGCCTTCTCTGAGTCTGTTCCAGGGACATCTTCTAAAGACGTCATGGATATGGTTCTGGTCACTCAGTACTTTGACACATTGAAGGAGATTGGTGCGTCTTCCAAGTCAAACTCGGTGTTCATACCGCACGGTCCAGGAGCTGTTAAGGACATTGCTTCACAGATCAGGGATGGTCTTCTTCAGGGTAACGCTGCTGATTCGTGATCTCAAAGTACAAAGCTTTCTTCAGGGCTTAGTTGTGTTGATACTTAGTAGAGCTTTCTTCATGGTTTAGTTGTGTTGCAACTTGGTATTATTTATCTTTAGCGGTTTGGCTTTCTATTTTGTGAAGGATACCTTAAAATACTTATCGTTGGTCTGTTTATCGGCTTGTGGATTGGATCCTCTGTCTTGTTTAGTAGGTTTGGAGTATACTAAATTTTTTTTTACTACATTATTTTCATTTTTCGTTCCAAAGTTGACAAATTTCATTCACTTACTCTGCTGCTAGAAATTTGTAAGTCAATTAGAACTTTAATATTAAAAATTTATAATTCCTCTTCAATATATATTACCAAATTAGTGTAGTTTTTTTCCGGTTTAGTGGATTAACTCAAATTCGAATTTTAACTCATCCGGATCAGCTAAGCGATTGCTAATTGAAACCGGTCGGTGAATCAAGTTTCAAATCACTGAATATTACCCGTAAAAAACAAGTACTTATAGGGTTTAGTTAGCAAAAACCAAATTATTAGATATATAATAGGCGTGAATTTAAAAATCAGGCTTACTACAATAGCCTCGTCCAAATGTTTGCCTATTAGGTAAGGGAAAAGGCAACACACGAGACGGAACATTTACATAGAAGAAAAACTGAAAAAAAAAACATGCTAATTTCACCGAGTAAACGGTTAATACAAGCTAAGCAGGCAAGTAGCTTTTTTTTTTTTTTTGACATCCAGACAAGTAGCCATTTAAAAAAAAAAGTTACTTTAGTTTTTTGAAGATGGGTACGGTATAACCGTATAAGCAGCAAGTATTCATGCCAGGTATACAAAAAAAGCCACAGAGAAAAGATTGGCTTTTTATAGAGCAAAGAAGTCGGCACTATATAAAATTAAAATAAAACAATCAATTAACTTCGTTAAACAAAAAAGTATCTACTTTTTAAGATCTCTTACGATACCAACACTGAGATCTGTGCTTCACAATTTCGGAAACAAACATCTCAAAACGTTCCAAACTCATCGGTCAGCCGTCAGATCATAAACAGAAAAAAAGAAAAAAAAAGCATTAGTGTGTAATTAGTTTAAAACTTAAGACAAAAACAAAATCGTATTTTCCTTATATAAACATATAACGACGCGCGGATGGTGGGACCCTACGTAGGCTGACGTGGCTTTTAAGTGTGATTACAAGTCTGGCGCTTACTCGAATCTCAATAAAGCTATTTTCCCTTTCACCAAAACCAAAAGTTATCATATCTTTTTTCCAATAAACCATTTATTTCAACGACTCTTAACCTCTTCTTCGTTCGAATCTTCACTCTCGCTTCAAAATATCTTCTTCTTCTTCTTCGTTCTGGTCTCTCGATCAAGAAACTGCAATGTCCACCTTCCCCATTGAGCCTCTTCTTCACCATTCTTCTCTTCGCAACAACTCTAAAATCTATCGCGGAGCTAGAGGCTTATTGCCTTGCTCGTTGAATCTCAGTTCTCAGTTCACTTCGAAGAAACTACACTCGATTGGAAGAAGCGTCGTCGGCTCCAGGACGAGTTTAGGTCTTCGAAGCTCGAATCACAGAAGGTCCGTCGCGATTCGTGCTAGCTCGTCGGATACTGCCGTCGTGGAAACCTCTCAATCGGACGATGTCGTCTTCAAGGAAAACTTCTCCGTTCAGCGAATCGAAAAGGTTTTTCTCAATCACCAGAAACACACATTCACCGTTTTACTCGCCTTTGTATGCCTAATTTTCGCAAGCCTGGCTTAATTTTGGTGTCGGAAAATTGATGAAACCTAACGCAAAGTACTTACTCAATTTAATTGAGCTATGCATTTCATGCTGTTGTTAAGTTGGACCGAGTTGATTCATTGATTTGGTGGATCTCTTGTGAAGATCATAAGTTCTTTTTTTTTATTTAAGTTTGTTTCGATTTGGAAACGATAGGCAGAAGGAAAGATTTACGTTCGATTAAAGCAAGTGAAGGAGGATAATTGGGAGCTGACTGTTGGATGTAGTCTTCCTGGGAAATGGATCATTCATTGGGGAGTTTCATATGTGGGTGATACTGGCAGGTCTTTCCACTTTTTTTCACATTTCCTCTTTCTTTCTACTTTTTCTTTTTAGTTTCCTCATTACTCCCTTGATGTTCTCTGCGTTTTAAAATTTGACAGTGAATGGGATCAACCTCCAGAAGATATGAGACCACCTGGCTCGATTGCCATCAAGGTACTCTACTCGGTGTTTTTCCCCTTTTGGTTATCTTTATTTTGGATTATGTGTAACACTTTTATTTATATTGTGTCAGGACTATGCCATAGAGACACCTTTGGAGAAGTCATCCGAAGGAGATTCGTTTTATGAAGTTACTATAAATCTAAATCTGGAAAGCTCAGTAGCAGCTCTCAATTTTGTTTTGAAGGTTCTGTTTGCTTAACTCTCTGCGGCAAAGCTGGTTATTCGTTTGACCTTAGATGTGCATTTATTTGGGACTGTTGTTTTTTTTCTCCAGGACGAAGAAACTGGGGCATGGTATCAGCACAAAGGGAGAGATTTTAAGGTCCCTCTTGTGGACGATGTTCCTGATAATGGAAATCTGATTGGAGCAAAGAAAGGCTTCGGTAAGTGGCCGGTTTATTTTACATTTATTGTTCTGAGTACAGGCTTTGCATTCTTATACTTGCATTCTTTCACTTTCATTTCCTCATTCGCTTTCAACGATTTATAGTTATAGCTCAAGTAATCTAGTGATTTAACGGGAAGTATAGTATTGCAACAGTCCTTCCTTGAATCTTCATATCTGATTGAGACTTGCTTTCTCTTGGATCTTCAGGTCCCATTGGGCAGGTCACAAACATCATTGTCAAACCAGATGAGCCCGGTGCAGATGTTCAAGAAAAGAGCTCGTCTGATCTTACAAAAGAAAGAAAAGGTCTTGAAGAGTTTTACGAAGAGATGCCAATTAGTAAACATGTTGCTGATGATAACTCAGTCAGTGTCACTGCAAGGAAATGCCCTGCAACATCTAAGAACGTTGTATCGATTGAAACTGATTTACCGGGTGATGTTACTGTCCACTGGGGAGTTTGCAAAAATGGCAGTAAAAAGTGGGAAATTCCAGCTGAACCTTACCCAGAGGAAACATCTTTGTTTAAGAACAAGGCACTGCGGACTCGTTTACAGGTAAGTGTAGAAGTATGTTCCTTGGAAAGATTCGAATGTTCAGATTTGAAAATCTGGCAATAATCACCGGTGTTGGGTCTCTCTAGTTTTTAGTCTGTGAGATTTAAAATTAGTTCTCGGTTAGCACCTGGCCATGTTGACAAAAGTCCTAGCATTTTTCAGGTTGTACAGGCCTTATTTTAAACTTAGCATTAGGGTGGTAGCAACACTATGCTTCTTCTTTTTGATGCTCCCTGGTAGATATATTTCCTTTGGATTGCATACTTTTACCACCTGATGCCATCACGCATGTCTTTCCTGCTGCTTCCAGATATTGTGGGCACCTAGAGATCATTTTCATGTTGTCAACAAATAATCTAATTTTTTTTGGTTTACCTTTCCTGTTATAATAATTTCTCTTACCATCAGTGACATTATCTAATGAATATGCGTATGACACTCTGCAGCGAAAAGACGATGGAAATGGATCTTTTGGATTATTCTCTCTGGATGGAAATCTTGAAGGATTATGTTTTGTTCTCAAGTTAAATGAAAATACTTGGCTAAATAATAGGGGCGAAGACTTCTATGTCCCTTTCCTCACTTCAAGTAGCTTGCCCGTTGAAACTGAAGCTGCTCAAGTGAGTGAAAAGACACCAAAAACAAATCAAGAAGTGTCTGATAGCGCATTTACTAATGAAATCATCACTGAGATAAGGAACTTGGCAATTGACATTTCCTCTCACAAGAATCAGAAGACAAATGTGAAAGAAGTGCAAGTAAACATTCTTCAAGAAATTGAGAAACTTGCTGCGGAGGCTTATAGCATATTTCGAAGTACAACTCCAACTTTTTCCGAGGAAAGTGTTTTAGAAGCAGAGGTTGAAAAGCCTGAAATTAAAATCTCCTCGGGAACTGGCTCAGGATTTGAGATATTGTGCCAGGGATTCAACTGGGAATCTCATAAATCTGGTAGATGGTACCTGGAACTTCAAGAAAAAGCCGATGAGTTAGCTTCACTAGGGTTCACTGTTCTGTGGCTGCCTCCTCCTACAGAATCTGTGTCACCTGAAGGGTACATGCCGAAAGACCTGTATAACTTGAATTCCAGGTGAGCTCTGCAATTTTACAAGGCTTCCTATTGTTATTTAGTTGCGTAAAACTTCATCATGAATCTGAGGTTGTTCAATCTTTAAGTGGGATTAAATGAACTTCTGGTTGAGATACAAGAAAATAGCATGTATTTGAACACTACCTGTTTCCTCTGTTTTTGTTGCAAACTTACAACAGATATGGAACTATTGATGAGCTAAAAGATACCGTTAGGAAATTTCACAAGGTTGGGATCAAAGTTCTTGGCGATGCTGTTTTGAATCACCGTTGTGCACACTTCAAGAATCAAAATGGTGTATGGAATCTATTTGGAGGGCGTCTAAACTGGGACGATAGGGCAGTAGTTGCAGATGACCCTCATTTTCAGGTATACTTTCGCTTTTTTTTGGGATCTAATTTAAAGAGAAGTTTGATACTATAGCAATAGAATAAAAAAAGGGGCAAATTCTTTGTTGAAGAACGTGCTTTTTGCTGATATATGCTGCTGTATTATTATTTTTCGTCTAATGTTTGTGTGGTAGATAAGGTGCTTATGATCTTCATTCAATTTATTCATTGATTCAGGGTAGAGGAAACAAGAGCAGTGGAGATAATTTCCATGCTGCTCCAAATATAGATCACTCGCAAGATTTTGTTAGGAAAGATATCAAGGAATGGCTCTGCTGGATGAGGTTAGTTCCCCTGTTCTTTTTATTTTCTTTAAAAATTTCTGCTGGCGTCTGATTTCATTCGCAATTTTGATTCACCTGCAGAGAAGAAGTTGGGTACGATGGATGGAGGCTTGATTTTGTAAGAGGGTTTTGGGGAGGTTATGTGAAAGACTATATGGATGCTAGCAAACCGTACTTTGCGGTTGGTGAATACTGGGATTCCCTAAGTTACACGTATGGAGAAATGGACTACAATCAAGACGCACATCGTCAAAGGATTGTTGACTGGATTAACGCAACCAGTGGAGCTGCCGGTGCATTTGATGTCACAACCAAAGGAATTCTTCATACGGTACTAATAAATATTCAACATCTTGTAGCGTTTGTTATAACATTTGGTTTTGGTTTATGAAATCCGGTAAGCTTTCTGTGTGTAGGCGCTTCAAAAATGTGAATACTGGAGACTCTCAGACCCCAAAGGGAAACCTCCTGGTGTAGTTGGATGGTGGCCTTCTCGTGCTGTAACATTCATAGAGAATCATGACACTGGCTCTACTCAGGTTTTTGTTTCTCACCATTTTAACTACCCCAAGTTTTCTGTTTGAATTAACCGTCTTAACGATTATTTTCCTTCTCTTTGTTTAAAGGGACATTGGAGATTTCCGGGAGGGAAGGAAATGCAAGGATATGCTTACATCTTGACTCATCCAGGAACACCAGCGGTTTTCTTTGACCATATCTTCTCGGATTACCATTCCGAGATTGCTTCTCTTCTCTCTCTCAGGAACAGACAGAAACTCCACTGTCGGAGTGTGGTAAACTTAGAATCTTTTCAAACATATTTTCTTTGTTTTACGAAATTGGCCAGGTTTTAAACCCAACCTCCTGTGTTTACGTGATTGTGAATTGTAAAGGTGAATATAGACAAGAGTGAGAGAGACGTCTACGCAGCTATAATAGATGAAAAGGTAGCAATGAAGATCGGACCAGGGCATTACGATCCACCAAACGGATCTAAAAACTGGTCTGTAGCTGTCGAAGGCAGAGACTACAAGGTGTGGGAAACATCTTAAGAAGCAGGTAATTTTTTATGTGCGTAGTAAATAAGAATATTCCTGGAGGAAAAATGTTATATAGTATATGTTTCAGGGAAGAAGCAGAAAAATAAGCTTACCTGGAAATGTGATTGTAGGTGAAGAACCATGTTTAAGATTTGTCCCAATTTTTACAATACTGAGAACATATCATATGTTGTATCAACATTCTGGATGATTGTATATTGTATGCATATATGAAACATATATGTGTTAATGTGATGAGTTGAATAAAGTAGTCAAGAAGATCTGTGGTATTCTTCTTCTGCAGCTTCATAGAACTAAAAACTAACATTCAAAACTAAAAATCTAATGTAAGTTTCGTTCGAGAAATTTATAAGAGGAACCCTAAAAAATTATTCAAACATAACAAAAATTAATCTTCTACATATCAAAAAAAGTTAACACCCTCGCCAAAAAGTTAATTTTATTAGTAATAGGGTCTGAAAAAGTTTCACTAACAAAAAAAAATAAAATATAGAAATAAACATGTAAAAGGAAAAGGAATTTAACTAAAAAAATAATAATTTTATTAGTAGTGGGATGTATTGCTATCGATTATAAATAATTGTCTACAATTTCAATAGATTAACAAATAAAACATATTCTAAGAGAGACAGAGACATGCATTGATAAAACAATGGCTAATTTTTTCGTGAGTTTCGACAACTTGAAAAAGGTTTTAGCAAGATAGAAGTGCTTGTTAGAATCTTACACTTCTGGGAGGCACGGACGCCAAAAAAAGGCGGTTTACTTATGGGACTCTAGGTACTTATCGTAGATCAAAAAGTACTTGCAAAATTTAATAATTCATAATGTACTCAAAAGTTATAAGACAATATTAGTAATATTTTTTTTTGTCTTGCAGTCGACCATCATCCATGCATTCATATCAGCTAACCGAATAGGTTACGATGAAAAACTAAAGCCCGATGTAGTTTATAGGATCAACAATTTCGTTGTCCTTGAAAACAAGATCAGCTACAAAGTAACAGCAAACAACATTGGTTAAGGACAATCAAGCTGACCATACTATTGAAAAGCAAAAGGTTAGGATTCGATATTTCGAGCAATTTAAAGAAGCATTCAACATTGCTCGATCCTTCGAATCCTAAACTTTTGCTTTTCAATAGTATGGTTAGCTTGCTTGTCCTTAGTTAATATTGTTTGTTGAGTGAATTGGATTTGAAATTTGTGAGAAGTTACATTGTAGTTGGTATTGTTTTCAAGGACAACAAAAAAAAAGTTTGACAACAATTCAACAGCAACCTGCATTATCTGCATAATAGTGACCGATCCAATAAACTATAAATGTATTTTTTCCAATAATTCCAGAAAAATAAATAATGGAGCGATCTTTATCAATCAAAATCGTTAAAAGCTTCTTCAACATTTCGCTGAGTGAGAAATTTCTGAAATTTCAGCTTATCTCCTGGTTTTTAAATTTACACTCATATTCAGAACTTGGACTAAGTAAAGTCTTGGGTTGCTTTTGGCTCAAACACTCAAGAAATATAAAGTCTTCTTTTATATTGAGGAAAACCAAATCCAAGTCACTTCTTATTTGGTAAAGACATAAAAAAAAAGCAGTGTCTTTAGTTTAGAACATGCACTACAAGAAAATATTAAATTTTGACCAATTTTTTTGGTCAAAAATTTGTCGACGAATTTTCCACCAATAAACAACTGATATTGAATCGGTTGATAATTGGTCAAAAAATTTCGACCAACATATATAATTGTTATTTAGTCAAAAAATTTGACTGTTTTAAAACCGTTTATTATAGCGATCAAATATGGGTCGAAGATTTATGATGATATTATTCAGTCAATAATTGGTCAAAATGACTGAATAATTATCGACCAATAATAAAACCATTTTATATTAGTTAAAAAATTATCAGTATTTTTCGATCAATGAAACTAATTGAGATTACTGACGAATTAGTCATTAGGCTTAAGGCCAATTTAGGGTTATGGAAAATCGTCCTAGTTTCTTGAGATCTCCATCTGAAACACGTATAGCTCAGAGAGACATTTGTCCGCTAAGATGTAGTCTCTAGTGGAGTTCATCTGCATATAGAGATACTTTTGAAATCTTGAATCCTTGAGCTGCAAGTTTCTATGTGGGATACACCAATTTTAACCAAATTATAATCAAATATTTAATAATAAAAATAATATTATTTGATCAAAAATTGGTTAAAAATTGATCAAAAATTAGTCAAAAACAACTATTTTTGACCATTTTTTTTTACCATTTTGGTGGTCAGATATCTACTTGTTTTCTTGTAGTGATGTTCTCAATGAGTTAAGAACGTGTTTTTCCATAACGTTTATGAATCATAGACATTTTGTTTTGCTCTATGTGTAGAATATGTATGATGGGAACGTTGATCTACATACGAAATGAGCCTTATCAATAGGCATTCCCGTGGAAGTCACAGGTCTATACATGGCTTGGAAACAGAACGGAAAGCTATCATGGAAGCAAGTGTATCCCACATAGAAACTTGCAGCTCAAGGATTCAAGATTTCAAAAGTATCTCTATATGCAGATGAACTCCACTAGAGACTACATCTTAGCGGACAAATGTCTCTCTGAGCTATACGTGTTTCAGATGGAGATCTCAAGAAACTAGGACGATTTTCCATAACCCTAAATTGGCCTTAAGCCTAAGGCAAATCGCAGAGCACGGTACAAAAGCTTTTTACAATGGCACTGTTGGGGTTAACCTTGTGAGAGATATCCGTAAATTCGGAGGGATAATAACTTTGAAAAATCTGCAAAAGTTATAGAGTTTAAGGTTAAAAAACCATTGTCAGTTGACATTCTCGGATACCGACTACTTGGTATGCCTCTTCCTTCATCCGGTGGTGCTGCAATGATACTTGTTAGTTTATTTGTTTTTAACATGAAGATATCACATTTTGATCAAACCTAAATTCTACTTAAGGTTTAAATAAGGTGTTTCTTGCGTTGCAGGTTTTGAACATTCTTTCTGGATATGGGATTCCAGCAGTTGTTTCGGGCCCTCTCGGGGTTCATCGACTAGTCGAGGCTATGAAACATGCCTTCGCGGTTAGAATGAACCTTGGGGATCCGGATTTTGTAGATGTTACCAAGGTTGTATCAGATATGTTGTCTCTATAGTTTGCACAAGACTTGAAGAAAAAGATATACGACGAGAAAACCTTTGACCCAAAATATAACGGCGGCAAGTAAGTTTTTTTTTTCGAACTGTATGTTAAACCCGCAGATTTCTTCTTCATTTCTTGATTTTTCTTCATCGAACTCGTAGGTGAGATCAGATTCACGATCATGGGTTAAGCCATTTGTCGATTGTAGATCACGAGAGGAATGTTGTTTTGATGAATAGTACAATAAACAAGTACTTTGAGGCATTGATTCTATCACCAATTAAGCTGAACAACGAAATGGCAGATTTCTCGATCCCTATGAAATCCAGCGGCAACTAAAAAGTGCCACCGCCGGCACCAACGAACTTCATCCATTCGGGAAAACGACATTTGTCCTCGATCAGGGGCTGACACAAATGTGGTGGTATGGGGTTAAATGCCCCCTACTTTTTTTTTTTTAATAAACATTAAATAAATTTGATTTAATATATTATTTTAATGAATTTATAAAAAATTGCTCCCTATTATAAAAAAAAAATTGTTCTCTATTGAAAGTGCCCCCAATAAAAGAAAGTTCTAGATCCGTCAATGTTCTGAATGACACCTACCATTGTACTCAAAGTAAGCGGAAAACACCATGTTACTTGTGGTACACGAAACTTTGAATTTGGATTCTATACGACAGATTTTTCTGCTTTTGTTTGCTTAGGACGATAAAGTGAAAGCCGTGGTTGGTGCAAGCGGAGGATCGTACATCATCGCTGGAACAACAGAAGTTTTCTTGAATCATTTTTTCCTCAAGATGGATCCTCTTTCTTCCGTCTTGGCTCCAAGAATCTACCATCAGGTTTTTTTGTGTTTTTCCTTTTGCCCAACCTCAGAAAGTTTTTTCTCTACTCAAACCTAAAATTGCGTTTTGTAATTTTATTTTCAGCTGATACCAAACATAGTTTCGTATGAAAATTGGACGACTGTGTTCAGTGGCCATTTCGAGATTCCTAAAGAGACAAGAGTTGTGTTGGAAAAGAAAGGCCATGTCCTAGCGCCGATCACCGGAGGTACGATTGCTCAGTTCATAGTTCAAGAATCCGGTGCAAATTCCAGCGGTATGAGTGAGCTTGTGGCGGTAAGTGATCCAAGAAAAGGAGGGTTCCCTTCAGGATACTAAGATCGCCAACAGCGTTATCTTCTATCTATTTGGAGTTGATTATGTAAAAACGAAACAAAAATATACGTTGTTTATTACTTTAAAGAACTAGGCAATAAACCAAACACATTAAAAACCGAATTATTAAATTATTACTTTATTAAAAAAATGTAGTTGTTACTGTTTTGATAGTAAATGAGTGACAATCAGGTTACAAAAAAGAACTCATTAAAGAACTAAATTCATACGTTGTTCATACGTTGTTACATATTAGACAATTACATCGACTGATTTCAGACAAGATTTTGCTAAATGCTCAAGAGTTAAGCGATTAGTTTGCTAAAATCAAGAAAAAGGTATATTAAACACTTTCAGAAATTTGGAACATAGCTTCCAAAAGTAAAATCAGTGGCACGAAAATATAGACCATTTTGATCCTAATATTGTTATATTTTTTTTGTGTTATCTTATTTTCATAGGGTTTTTGTTGCATTTGGAGTCCTATTTAATCGAATCTATAAAAAATTCTCAAGTGTGTATTTTTTTTTAAAATAAATTATTATAACTTTTTTAAAAAAATAACTCAGACGAAAATCCACCGATTCGTCATAAAATATACACTATAAGCCACAATCTACGTTATTTGGAGAGATAGAAATATACGGAGGTATGGTGAAGACCCCTCTCCACCTCAAAGATTAATGAAGTTCATTGACAGAACAATGAGAAACGCTCGATCAGACTCATAGGAAACCAAGATTATGATAACAGCTTTATGTTTTGGTTTGACACTAGAGATTAGGAAAATTCTTTAAGCTGTATTTTGAATTCTTTAAACTCTGATGCACTTGATGTAAAAAAACTTTGATTGAATAAATTTTACATTTAATTTAAAAAATAAAATCCCCCAAATGGACATCGGAATGTTAAAAAATCCTCCAGTGTATTTTTTTTTTTGGTCTTTGTGTTTTTCTATAGATGCTTATGAGTGGTTTCGCTAAAAGAGAATGCCACTATTTATAGTATGAAGAATAATGAAGAATTGAGGGGTCATAGTATGAGCAATGAATTAGTTTTATCCCACTATTTAATTTCAGCACATTTTGAGGCACTTGTGTTCCACATTATTTCATGAATCCCACTATTTATTAATGATTAGAAACTGACAAGACAAGTATCCAAGAGGAGAGATACATGTTTACATACGAGAAGAAATTTAGATCAGTGAGATGTTTGTATGTGTTTATCCTACATAACATTCACACATATAATGACCGGTGTAGCCTTGGCAATAACCACCGAGAAAACCTATCTGAATACAGTAAATATCACAGTCACGTTTTTTGTCCGCACCGTGTGGATCTGGGCATGGTCTCCCCGTATGGCTCTGTGCCTCTCCAAACTCTATAGTTTTTAAGTTAAGAAGAGAATTGAGGGGTTTTTTACGAAACCAAATGATATTTTATATGAATCACATTCAAACGAACACATCAACTTTTGGAATTATAATGTATATTATGAATAATTACAAATAAAAATCAATAAATCCAAAAAATAAATAGTTAAAAAACATATTGTAAAGTTATTTAAAGGGAAATATATATGTCAGAGAAATAGATCACCTGCGTTTGAGAGAACACATAGGCAAAGAACCACGAAGAATGAGATTTTGTTAGATGCCATTTTCTTATTTGAAGCTCTCTCTCTCTTTTTTTTTTCCTTTCAACAAAATATGTGAATTTAACCAAGACAGAGACTTTGTTAGACCCCAAATAAATATGTATAGAAGTGGAACATATGTATCTTCTTTTTAAAGAAATAATCTTCCTTTTTAAGAAAGGAAAATTGATACGAATCTTTGACTGTGAAGTTGTTCCATATATTGTCATTTGACCTGAACGTACAAGACTTTAATTTGTTATTGGGTATGAATACGTGTAATTAGGTTAATTTCTGTGTGACATGCACTTGTTTTGTTAAATGCATGAATCATATTTTTCTAATAATGCGCTTCGACTACATAAAAGTGGTCAAAACGCTAATTCGTTTCAAAGTTCTAGTTTGATTTTCAAATAAGTAATTTATATTACTTGTAGTTTGTTACTAATTTAAAAATCACACAAGTATTAAAAGAAATTGTTGGCTGGCATTCTATATTGGAAAAACCTTAATTTTAAATTTACACAAATATCATTGGGATGTTTGCCGAATATTTACATTCCGAATTACCTCAATCTCCACGAGTACATCTTCCAAAACATCTCCGAATGCTCAGCTCCTCCAAGCCTAGCCAAATCAACTCACCCACCGGCCACCGGCCACGTGTACACTTACTCCCATGTCCACGTCACTAAAAACCTCAAAACGACGGGATTTTATCCGTCTACTGCTATCCCGGAGATATATGACAAATATGCAATAAAAGAAACTCATTAAAGAACTAAATTCATACGTTATTACTATTAGACAATTACGTACAGTATTATTCATCGACTGTTTTCAGACGTAATTTTGCTAGATGCTCCAGAGTTAAGCGATTCGTTTGCTAAAAATCAAGTAAAACCTATAATTACCGCTTTCAGAAATTCGGAACATAGCTTCCAAATTAAATTAAATCAGTGGCAAGGAAAATAATATTACACCATTTTGATCATCTGTATTATTTTTTATTTTTTATTTTTTATCATTTTTTTTGGTGTTATCTTGTTTTCATAGGGGTTTTGTTGCATTTTGAGTCCTAGTGAATCTTGTTACACATGTAGAAAGTTTTATAGTGTGTCATTTTGACCCTCTTGTATCTGCTATTGAGTGAATTGGCTAAAAATATGAATGGAGTTTGCAGAATGATGAAGGAATACAATTTTGAATGCACTAGAATGATGATCCAGATCATTAATCATGCATAAGTGTCTGAAATTGCGTCGGATAAAAGTCTTCCTATTGTTGGATCAAGCTCAATTTGGACAGCGTATATGGGCAATTGAATTAATTTTATTTTGATAAGAAACTGACAAAACAAGTATCCAAGAGGATCTATGTTTAGATAGGAGAAGAAATTTGAATCAGCGAGATATTAGCTTATCCTTCATAACATTCACACATGTAATGGCCTGTGTAGCCTTGGCAAGAACCACCGAGAAAACCTTGACGAGTACAGTAAATAGCACATTCACTATTTTTGTCCGCACCGTGTGGATCTGGGCATGGTCTTCCCGTTGGGTTTTGTGCTTCTCCAAACTCTGTAGTTTATGTTAAGAAGGAAATTGAGGGTTTAAGAAATGATATTTTACATGAATCAAATGAAGACATCAAATGAAGAAGTATATCATGAATAATAAATAAATCTAAAGAAAAAATTAGTTAAAAAAATCATATTGTAAAGTTATTTAAAGGGAAATATATGTCAAAGAAATAGATCACCTGTGTTTGAGAGAACACATAGGCAAAGAACCAAGAAGAACGAGATTTTGTTAGATGCCATTTATATGTGAAGTTCTTTTTTGTTTGAAGTTCTTTTTTGTTTCTCGTTTCAAAACAATATATGTGAAGTTAACCAAGAAAGATAGACCCCAATTAATAAGTTTCGAAGAGGATCTTTCTGATAAAGTTTCAAGTCAATATGGGTATTTTTTTTTGGTAAAAAATATGGGTATTTATAACAAATACGGATATTTTTACACCAAATAGAAGTATATCTAATAATAAAATTACCAAAATTATTGAAGCGTTAACATATGTCTTAAAGACGGGGATACATTGAATCTTTGACTGTAGAATTCTTCGTCTATCACTACAAGCAAATAGTTTTAAGTTATTTATTATTATTCTCTTATTCTTTTTAAAAAATTACAGAATCTTTTTCCGATTTAGAATACAACCTTTTTATTGAATTTGAGAAAACCAAACATTTATTGATAATTTTATTTATTTTTCACTTTTTAAATATCTGTGTGATATTATTATGCAATATAATATGATATCTTTTTCTTAAGACTAGTAAAAATAATTTATGGGTTTGTCACCGTCATTATCATAGAATACTAATATAACTTATAAGAGAAAGTTAAAATTGGAGAATTCTTTTGAAGAGGAATATAACCATCATCAAGGAACAACAAAGGAATATAGAGATTATTGTTTCTCATTGTGATTGAAACACGATTAGAGGGAACATTATAACACGTCTTCATATGGATATATAGTCAAGTAGTAATTTAGGTTTTCTATAACGCGGAAAAGTATGATAGAAATGTTTGAAAAAAGTAAAAATCATAAGAGGGTGAGATGCGCACTAAAAACAGCTCTTCGCCGTCTGTTAAAAGTGGAGGGAAAGCAACCTAATGTGATAATTTGAGAATTGTACAATTTAAAATTATATACGTAAAGTTCCTATATTTTTGTGAGATAACGAAAATGTGGGAGAAGAACAGTGACTTGAAAGAAAGATATATAGCTACATATATTCTGTTTTTTTTTTTTTGTCTAGATTACTGATCAGTTCGCGTTTCCACCAATCTTAAAGGCCGGTCGGATCCGAAGTTTGAAAACTCACTGGTCGGATCCAATGTTGTCATCTATAAAAGTTAAGTTTGCATAAAATAATTTAAATTGACCTCGCCATTATTATAAAGGATTATGCGATAGATTTTAGTGCACGACGTGATAGATCATTGACTGTAATGTCATACTTGTGTATTATAAAAGTATTGTTCGCATATTATTAATTACAAATATTTCAACTAGCTAAGATATAATAATACCACTAGATTGTCATGACATGTATATGGTAGACTAGTTACCGGATCCTGCACTTATTTTTCTCCTTATCATTGGTGGCCATAATGTCTCTAAGGCATCGAATCGTATATTATTCTTTTGTGATATACATATATATATATTTATGTATATATATATATCTATATATTCTTTTCGTTTCATAGTAAAATATCGTATTTTTTTTGTTTGTTTCAAAATATTGATTTAGTTTTAATGCAGAATTTAAAACAAGCTTCCAGTTTTAACGGTATTACAAAAAAAACAACACTCGATATAACGAGTTTAAAATGGGTAATACAAGAATAACACTAGTAAGTGGTGACTCCAATACTAATCCTTCTTTTTTTAAGTTATAGTGATTACGTAAAGAAAATTTCAAAATAAAATAAACCCTGTAAACGTGTAAACTATACAAGATATATTCTTTGTAAAGATATGGAATTCAGAATGTCATCATTTTCCTTGACGTATAGTAAATAGAACCAAAATAAACTATGACATATTGATATAAATAATTGGCATACTCTATAGTGAAAAACGTTATTGGATTAGTATTCGCATAATAAAAAAAAATTATTCAACGAGAGCAGCCTTCAATCTAATAAACTTTAATATTTTATTTTTCCAGAGTTGAAATTTCGTGCATGATGTACTCATTAATTTTATATTACATGTATTTTCTCTTAGTAATTCATGAAGAACATGAAATTAGTACTACGCCAACTGGTCCGCGGAATTAAAACAGCTGCAAATCGATGATGTGTCATCTTTTCATCGGAAATTTGAACACCGCACAGTCCCGTAGTGGGCTGTTAAACGGCTGAAAGTTTCTGGTACAATGCATTCTTGCGGTGTTCATATTGACCCGTTAGTGCAGGTTCAGTTTCGACATATTTAAGGCCTATATGTACTAAAAAAAAAACAGAAATCTTATCAATGAATATATAAATCTATTAAAAACAAAAATCCTAGAACAAAGAGAAAAACAAAACTACTAAAAAAATGACATTAACATTTTTGTTACTATATCAAGTAAAACAATTAGTTTTATATGATTCGATTTTGAGATGTGTGAGTGGAAAAGATTTGGAAGCCTTAGAATTTCACGTACAGATATGTGAGTTTCGGATATACAGGTCCAGATATTTTTCATTTTAGTTTTAGATAACAATAACATTTAAATATATATATATAACTATGATATTAATGTATAAAAATTAAAATTTATTTTTGTATGTATTTTCATATGAAAAATCACATAATTTATGTAGAGTTTTTTCTTTTAAATGATAAAAAATTTGGATTCGAATGCTGAGATCTGGAATTTGAAATTATATATTGTTTAGATCTATCCGATTTTAACATTTCTAAGATTAATATCTGAATTTATAGACCTATAAATATTCGAGGTTTTGGAGCGGATTGATAGATTTTGGATCTCGGATAATAATTCTGTCTCAAAAGATTTAGAAAAGTGAATAATTTTTATCAATATGAACTTGAGAACCCCAATCGGATCAGTTGATGTCCAAACCTGCATGTATAAAGTAGTGACGAGATAAAAAAAAAAAATTAGAGAAGAAAAAAGAAAGGATAGTTTCTTCTTTCTCGGCTCTTGATTCCATTAAGGTTTTATATCATAACATATGAAACATTCACCGTGCATGTCAAAAGTAAACACTTGTTTTAGTTACCTATAAATTTAACATAAAGTCTACAGCGTTTTGAGTCTTTTGACCCAAAAAACAAAATGTCTACAGGATTGATCTTGTTATGATACAATTTTAGAAAAGTAATAAATTAGTACAAAATATTATTATGAGTCATGACATGGATTGCAATATTCAATTTTATTTTTTTGAACACAATATACTATGACAATAGACATTATCTTATGCTATAATGCTGAGTCGTCGGTTCCGGATTGTTCAAGAATCGAGACATAGTTGAGAATTATTCCAAACAGAGCTGGTAACATGGTGATGATCACCAACAGAAAACAATATTTTAAGTTTTTATTTCCTCTTATTAAAATGCAAAGTCAATGTCTGTAGGCTCTGGCCCTTTATAAGAAGCTACAATACTTTGTATATAATGAGAATATCTTACTTTTTTTTTCTTGCAAAGAAGAAAAACCAAAGGAACAGATCCAACAGTTCTCAAGATCGCATCTGAATCAAAAATATATAGCATGATCAAAGAGGCGATCAATTCATGTGTTTATCCTTTCGATGGTGTTATGGCAGAATCTGATAAGGTATACGACAAACTATCAGCAGAATCTGATAAGGTATACGACAAACTATCTCTTAATTTAAGGGTTTAAACTACAGTCTTCTCTAATTAGTTTGGTTCATGGTTTTTTTTTTTGAATCTTCTGGTGTTTTTTTCGGTGAAATTTCGGATTTTGAGATACTCATGTTCATACTGTATATGCATATCTACATGTATATAGTTTTAATGTTTGTGAACTATGCCCGAAATTACTGCATCTTATAAAAGTCAACTTTCTTGTTTCGGAATCGGTCAAGACTCTCGAGTATCACAAATTATTGTTAAAAAAGAAATACTCCATTTCTACTACCAAGTTTTCGCATAAACCACAAAGTAATTAATACATGTTTTATTCTAGTTATTTAAATTAATTGGGGTCCTTTATGATGGATTGGATACATGTATTTACGAATTACGAATTTTCGTTTTTTTTTTGGTATACGATCTCTGTTCATCTCTATATTACTGTTCACTTTTGTGTGTTGGATTATGAAGAACTAATTATCGTAATGCTTAGAAATATATTGGGTGGATAAAAATAAAATACATATGTAATTAAAATACACATAATGAAGGTGAATGTGATAGATAAGCAATGTATCTTGATATTTACAGGAGGTGGAGCTTGATGCAACAAAAGCCAAGGTGGAGAAAGTTAGAGAAGAAAATGAGAATTTAAAGCTCTTACTCTCTAGGATTCTTACTGATTACAACTCTCTTCAAATGCATGTCTCCAACGTTATCCGACAACAACGTGAAGCTTCTATGGAGCTGGACATTAATAGTCACGACAGTTTCGGTGTAGATATATCTCTTAGGCTTGGAAGATCAGACATGAATATCTCCAAAAAAGAGGATAAAATAGAGAAGATTTGTCCGGACAAGATATCTGATGACAAAAAGGACGGGTCAGATATGAAACGATCTTTACTAGTTTTAGGATTACCGATTCAGAGTTGTGAAACTGAGCAAAACATGAAGTTAGATAATCTTTCTAGAGATGCTAGAAATAAAAACGAGGAGAATAAATGTGGATCTTCGAGGAAAGATTTCAAAACGGCTAGAAATGTAGATCGTCAAGAGGTTTTGGAAGGACATGAGCAACCGTGTTTAAAGAAAACTAGGGTTTGTGTGAAAGCACCGTGTGAAGACCCATCAGTACGTACCAAACCAAATAACGATACGTTACATTTTTTTTTTAAATATCTTAGGTTTCGCATGTAACATGTTGTTATTGATGTTACATGAATGTATAGATAAACGACGGTTGCCAATGGAGGAAATATGGTCAAAAGACTGCAAAAGCGAACCCTCTTCCACGAGCCTATTACCGCTGCTCCATGTCTTCAAATTGTCCCGTCAGAAAACAGGTACAAAACATTCTACAATATTCACATTCTAAATTTCGAACTTAGTTTTCTTAGTGAAATCTACAATCTTTAACTGATTGAACGGTCTAGGTAATGCAACTAGACAACAAACCTTTATTTCAATCTTGCAAAATTTGTGGTAACTAATATCATGATGATGAAAATTAAAAATTATATTGGCCAAGTGGTAAACAAATTTACTCTGAGTAGATTGAGTTTTCCCACGTGATTTCAATCTTGATTTACCACTAGACGTGTTAAGTGACAAGAAATACTCGATTCTTTTACAGGTCCCGAAGCCGAGGATTATAGTATGAGCTTCGGCTAGGGATCTCTGGTTGTCAAAAAAAAAAAAATTGATAATGAATATATCATGATATATTTATTACTTATTAGTCATTAGTAAATGTGATTAATGTATTTATGCAGGTTCAAAGATGCGGAGAAGATGATACCTCCGCTTATATGACGACGTATGAAGGAAATCACGACCATCCTCTACCCATGGAAGCAACTCACATGGCGGCCGGAACTTCCGCCGCCGCGTCCTTATTACAATCTGGCTCCTCCTCCTCCTCCGCGAGTCTAAGCTATTACTTCCCTTTCCACCACTTCTCTGTCTCCACTACTAACTCCCACCCCACCGTAACACTTGATCTCACACGACCAAACTATCTCAATCAATTGCCAAACTACCCTCTCTCTTCCTCATCTCTCAGCTTCTCCTCCTCTGATCGTCCATCTTCGTCAAACAGTCACACGTTGAGCTTCAATGGCTTGAGAACACAAGCTCCCTTGAGTACATATTCACAAATGCCCCGTTTATCACATCAAACCAAACTTTCTGAACAACAATAAGTATATACTGTATACATTTTTTTTGTTTTGTTAAGTAGATGTTTTTTTTGTTGCTTTTGTCATCTATGTTTTCAAATTATTTTGGAAATTATGGATTTCCAACTCAAAACTAATGAACATTGGATTAACTCATGTTGTTCAGATATTATGTTAGATATATGAATATATCTACATATTAGATCAACTCTAGTGATTTTATTGTTTCGGTTGTTTCCTTTGTATCTCTTTTAGAAACTTGTACATACATGAAATTTGTAAATAAACATTCATTATGTTGTACATACATGAAATTTGTAAATAAACATTCATTTTGTTGATCAATTTTACATTCAATAAGAAAAATTCTCTAGTGTCAGATTTAAAATCATCATAAAAAGAAAAATAGCATGACTCCATTATGGGCTTAAGCCCATATAAAATGGATGTGTTATATCTCTCTCTTAAAATCCAGCCCAACCGAGTCAAAAAGGCTCCGATTGCTTCGCTGCTCACTCTTTGAAACAAGACCACTTGAACGGAATAACACGTGTCCACGCACCCAAGCGAGCACGTGATTAGCGCGCGCGTTAACCGCCAAAAAAGCGAAACCAAATGTTCCATCTCCGACACGTCGCAATATCCGACCACTAAACACTCAACACTGTTTCTTTTTTCCCTGCTCTTAAGCCAAAAACCGTGAACTGAATCTGGGTCTTTTTTTTTTTTTTCCGTTTCGAATCTGGAACCGCCGTAGACAGCTGTCGATCTTTTCAATTTCGATTTTCGTTTCGCGAGTGGTATCAAGATATGGCAGAAAGTAGTGAGACTGCAGATAAAGATCCAAGATCGGCTGTTTCAAGCTGCGAGGCGTATTTCGAGAAAGTGCAATCGAGGAAGAATTTGCCCAAATCTCTTCAAGAAACCCTAAACTCTGCCTTCGCCGGAATTCCCGTCTCCTCCTTCCCACAAGTTCCCGGCGGCAGAGGTAAAATTAGATAAGATCTCATTTCTTCGATTTCTCCGGATATTTAATAATTTCTATGTTTGTACCATTTTCTTCTCAATCGGAATGCTTTTTGTGTATAAAGGCCCGGAATTTCGAAAATCCTCGTTTAAATTTGGAAACTTTACGAACTAATTTCGAAACTTGGTAATAGATTCACGACTCAATCGGTGTGGCTGATTCTTCTGGTTGTGTTTTGTGGTTGATCATTAGTGATTGAGATTCCAGCGGAAACATCTGTGTCAGAGGCAGTAAAGATTCTATCAGACAGCAAGATTCTCTCAGCTCCTGTGATAAACAAAGATCACGAGACTTCCTTAGACTGGAGAGCCAGATACATAGGAATCATCGACTACTCCTCGATCATCTTGTGGGTGCTAGAGAGTGCAGAACTCGCTGCAATCGCTTTATCCGCCACGTCAGCAACCGCTGCTGGTGTTGGCGCAGGAGCTGTTGGAGCTCTCGGTGTTGCAGCGCTCGGTGTCTCTGGTCCCGTCGCTGCGGCGGGGCTAGCGGCGGCTGCGGTTGGAGCCGCCGTTGCTGGTGGTGTTGCAGCTGACCGTGGAATCGGAAAAGATGCTCCAACTGCTGCTGATAATTTAGGGAAAGATTTCTATCAAATCATTCTCAGAGAAGAGCCCTTTAAATCAACCACTGTAAGTTATTAAAAATCCGTTGTTTGCTTGATTGGTGATGATGATTGATTGATTGTGATATGTTTGTTTTGGTTTGGTTTTTTTCAGGTTAGAACGATACTTAAGTCATTTAGATATGCTCCGTTTCTTCCTGTTTCCACGGAGAGTTCGATGTTGAGTGTTTTGTTGCTGCTCTCGAAATACAGGCTAAGAAATGTGCCTGTGATTAAACCAGGAGAACCTGATATCAAGAACTACATTACTCAATCTGCAGTTGTTCAAGGGCTCGAAGGCTGCAAAGGAAGAGATTGGTTCGATCACATTTCAGCTCTTCCGATTTCTGATCTCGGCCTCCCTTTCATGGCTCCCAACGAGGTTATTAGCATCGATAGCGAAGAGCTTATTCTAGAAGCATTCAAGCGGATGAGAGACAACAACATCGGTGGTCTTCCCGTTGTTGAAGGGACAAATAAGAAAGTTGTTGGTAACGTAAGCATGAGAGACATCAGATATTTGCTTCTACAACCTGAAGTTTTCTCCAATTTCAGGTTTGTTTTTTCTCATCACAACTTTGTGGTAACAATTTTCTTCTTTGTGAAACTAAGCTATATTTTGTCTATACCAAAGGCAACTTACGGTGAGGAATTTTGCGACAAAGATTGCAACGGGAGGAGATGAATATGGTTTAGCGATACCTGCGATAACATGTAGGCCTGATTCCACTTTGGGAAGTGTTATAAACAGTTTGGCTTCGAGGTCGGTGCATCGAGTTTATGTAGCGGCTGGAGATGAGAATGAGCTTTATGGTGTTATCACACTGAGGGATGTGATCTCTTGTTTTGTATCAGAACCTCCAAACTACTTTGAGAACTGTCTTGGCTTCTCGGTTAAAGACATGCTTAACCGATGATCTAATCTTCTCCAGCTTGTTTTGGTCTTCTACTTTTGTTGCTTCTTTCTTGGTTTAAATTCTGAAAGTTGTTGTTTTCACTTATCTAATTTGTAAGCCAGTGTAAGTTTTAAAAGTTTTGTCTTTTATCCTTGCGAAAAAACTTATAAGTTTGGAGCCTTGCTTAAATTGTGATTTGTGAACTATCTCTATTCGTAAAGTTTTGAAAGTTTTGAACTTTAGGTTTGATGTTGATAAAAAATGGGATTAGGATAGGACATGAGTGTACCTAATCGTTTTGATGTAAAAGGAAACATTAAACTAAATAGAAAAAGATCTAAGAATATTACTTTTGAAATCTTTTATCCTTTAGAAAATCTTATAAGGTTTGAACTATCTCTATTCATAAAGAATTATCTCTATTCATAATGTTTTGAAAGTTTTGAACTTTAGATTTGATAAAAAAAATGGGATTACGATAGGACATGAGTGTACCTAATCGTTTTGATGTAAATGGAAACATTAAACTAATTAGTAAAAGAAAAAAAGAATTACTACTTTTAAAATATTCTAACCAAAGAAGAGCATTTCCTTATGCATGGTTATTAGGACCTTCAGCCTTCAGGTACTCTTTATAAGACCGTAAAAACCATATAATTTTCCGACATCTCTGCCTGTCTCTTCTGGTGGTTTGGTTTCATCTTTCTGCTTCAAGGTATTCGATTTCGGGCTCATTCTTACAAAAGTCAATCCATTATTCATCTTTTGAGAATCACATGTTCGTTCAATTTCAATCTTGTTTTGGTAGTCTGCGCTTTAGATTACCTTTAAAAGAAAAATCGTTTCTCGATTGATTCTGATATGGATGATTTAGGGTTTCCTACAATTTCCAGGGGTTTTTCCTGTTTCGTAATTCCGGTTCTGGGTTTCATCCATATCTCTTGTCAAGATACGAATCTAGGGTTTCTTTTGTATTTGAGAGTTATTGCTGTAAGATTTTGCAATTAAGACAATTTTTGGAAAAGGGTTTGATCTATGCAACTCTGTTTTTTTTCTAAAAGGCATCGAGACACGCCATGTCAACTCCAGCAAGGAAGAGGCTTATGAGGGATTTCAAGAGGTTGCAGCAAGATCCTCCTGCTGGTATCAGTGGTGCTCCTCAGGACAACAATATCTTGCTCTGGAACGCTGTTATCTTTGGGTATAAGTTGAAAAAATTTGCTTTTATTGTGCCTCTTTTTTTGGTTCTGATTAAGTGATTATTAATCACATTCCTTTCTCTGCTCTGCAGTCCGGATGATACGCCTTGGGATGGAGGTATGTTTTTGTGCACTTACAAGTCAATATATAAAGTCTCTACCTTTTTTGCATATACACTAGAGAAGCATGATCAATAGATCCAATACTTGTTAAATGCTATTTTGCAGGTACTTTTAAGCTGACCCTTCAGTTTACAGAGGATTATCCGAACAAACCACCAACTGTACGTTTTGTTTCTCGGATGTTTCACCCTAACAGTAAGTTAACAGAGAAACATAAATCATGCTTTTTTCTGCTCTTATATTGATGGATTAATTTTTGTTTCCCTTACTTGATCTTATCGATTCATTGTCCTGTCTTGTTTCAGTCTACGCAGATGGAAGTATTTGTCTTGACATCTTGCAGAACCAATGGAGTCCCATTTATGATGTAGCAGCAATTCTTACATCTATCCAGGTATAGGAATCCATCAAGACCTTTGATTATCTAAATCCTGTTATCAGATTTTTTTTAAATATTTGATAAAGAAACCATTGTTGTGGTGTCTTACAATTTGCAGTCACTCCTCTGTGATCCCAATCCAAACTCACCTGCAAACTCAGAGGCCGCTCGCTTGTTCAGCGAGAACAAGCGAGAATACAACAGACGGGTTAAGGAGATTGTTGAACAGAGTTGGACCGCTGATTAATAAGCAAGAAGGTAACTGAATTGCGTGCGCTCAATTTATAACATTTGAAGATGTGGTGGTGATCAAATCGGTAAAGAGAACAATCACATTTAGTCTTCCCAATTCAGTAGAGATGTAATGTAATGGCTAGATGAATCTATATCCATTTCCGTGATAATCTTGCTTTCAAGTTGTGTGTGTATGTGACTATTGAATAATTTAAAGGCTTGTTGTTTATCAAGAGCATCAACGTGGTCCTCTCCTTTGATCTCGCCGCCATGTCTCTCTTTTAACTCCTGCTTGTGTATAATGAAGTCGAGGATAATGACTTATGTTCTATTTTAAAATCTTGGTTACATAAACAAAACTAGATCAATCATGATAGCAATATAGATCTGAAGATGTTCTATAAACATGATGTTTATAACAAATGAGTCAAAACTCCATTGAAACATCAGTGTGTTCAACTATGAAATGAAACTTAATCAATAATTCATGAGAGCAATATGGATCAATCACAATGCTTTTCTTTTACATGAAAAGGGTCTCTCGCAAATAAGTATAACTCACCCGGGTCGTTGCAAAACAGCTCGGTAACTCATCTAACCTTTCGGTGCCAATATACCACCTAGAGTCCCCCCAAACACTTCAGTGTTCATTAGATTGGTTTACCGGTAGATATTATACAACCAAGTATGAACAATGAAGCGTTAAAGGGAACTCAAGGGGACATTTGACTCTATATACTACTAACTAGATCTTTTGGTAATGCTTGCTTCTTCTTTTACTCAATGACATTGGTCACAACCCAAACTGCATATTTATACATCTACGTCTCCATGTTATGTTTTTCATTTTTGTTGCTATGGAATTTCTAGGGGAGGGACCATAAATTATATATTCTCCATTATAAATAAAACACGAGGGAATTTGAAGATGAACCAAGTCGGAATTTGGGGAATAAGAAGCCTAGAGAATATAAAATCTCCATCAGTTTGCTACAGAAGCACATTCTTCACAGGATCCATAATTTTACTTTACTTTGGTATAACAATGGATGGATTTCGATTTAACTACAGATTTGTAACAGATTTCAATAAAATTCTATAGAATTAACCACTAAAAGATATCTCACTAGGAAGAAAATGAACACTTGACTCTTTTATTTTTAGCTGATTTAGCAACTTACAAGCGACATATCTATTTATATCAAATCGGTATAAAATGAGTAATTGATTAACGGTCTATCATCAATATATATAATTTAAATTAGAATACATTATGTTATGATTGGATGATAACATAATTTAAATACTTTTGATTATAGATATCTCAAAATATGAGCAGTAGAATGTATACCAAAGAAGCTAAGCACTGATGTGTGCTTTTGCATGTATGTGAAGGTAGATGTACGTTTATTGGCATCTATGCGTAATTCTTGTATAAAAATGTGATCCTTCTGATCTTTCAAAAAGCTGAAAGAAAAAATTGATTTATGCACTTTTCTTGAAAATTTGATTCCCTCACCTAGACCCCTTAACCTAAATTCACGTCTAGGTTCACAATGCTTCCAACTCTATATATATAGAAACGCCAATCCCTCTAATTACTCTAGTAAAACAAATGTACCCATTCCACCGAATATAACATACAATAATACACTGATAAATTGATAATGTAATATATAAAACAAACTTCATTTTGGTCGGATGTTTCCTAGAGTTCCTCTGAGCACTTCATTGGAAACACCATTTTCAGTCAAAATGTATTCCACTGAAGTGTTTGGGGGAACTCTTGGACTCATTCGGTATTTTTCGATTCACAAGACAAAGTTTGATCTGTAAAAATTGTATGGCGTTGGATACACACGAATTAAGGTAAGAAATACATATATAATACACTGAATTAATTTACACTTGTGTAACTGCTTCTTCTTTTTTTCCATCAGGTTCTTCAGTCAGTTACTAATTTACTAATTACTAGTACCTTGATCATTCTATTAAAATTTATATCAATTTTGTCAACATGGGAGTAGCGTATTGAGATCGGGCATTATATTTGTACTTTTGTAATATGTGTAATCCTAAATTTACTAAAAGAAAACAAAAAAATATGATCTTAGGAGTGTAGCCGGATTAACTCTACCCAAAAATCGTTTACCAAAGAAAAACGCTACCCAAAATTCATATATGATATAAATTAACCTAATGTTGTTCTATACTTCTATTGCTGATAATATTGTATATTCATGCATGTTGCTTCAAGTATTTTAAGCAATAAATTAAGATACAACTAAATTAGCTTAAGTGATTTTATTACAAAAAGTGCTAAAATCAAACGTCTTATTAAGCCGTTGAAAGAAACTACTTGATGGGCCTTAATCCTACCTGACCGAGTTTTAAGCCTACGAAGCCTACATACAAACTAGTCTATTAACCCTAACCTTTTCCGTCATCACAGAAAAAATAAACCCTAAAATAAACCATAATGGCCCGCATCGTTGTGGTCCAGTGGTAGAGAAGGGTTGTGTGGGGTGTTACACCACTTCACCCAGGTTCGATCCTGGAAACAAAAACACAATTATGTGGGAAGTCTGGGTTTAGGCCCAAGCAGTTAACATGGTAGTCCAGTAACAGGCGATCTGGCTACCCCTAGCATTAGTCGGAAGGCATTTCAAACTCGGGACAGGTAGTGTGGTGGCCCATTTGGATCTCATGGATCTCATGGCCCGTTGACTCAAGTTCGCTCGAAATTCATGATGTCTGTTGAACCGTTAAACCAGGGAGAAGTCCACACTATAGCACTTCGGTGCGTTCCTACCAGGGCTGACCGGATCAGCCGATAGGGTTTATAAAAAAAAAAGACCATAATGGTTTTTTTATTTTTCTGCTAAACGAAAGACTATAATGGTGGCTTCGGAGATGCGTCTTCCATGGGATTTGGTGGAAGAGATACTCTCTTGGGTTCCACTTAAATCTCTTATACGTTTCAGAACCGTTTGCAAACGGTGGAAAGCTCTTTTCGAAGAGAAGAGATTCACCAAAAACCAACTGGCTCGTGCCAGCCGTCCACAGTTCATATTGTTTATTGCCGAATCAATGATTTATTCGGTTGATGTCATTCTCGACGGTTGTCCATCGATAGAGATAAAGTTGCTTAAGTTACCCTTAGATACTACCGCTTGTATTCTTTCAATGGATTTAGTTGTTAATTGTTGCGATGGGTTATTGCTTTGTTCTGTCCCGAGTAACCGGTTAGAGGTTTGCAACCCGTGGTTGAAACAGGCTAGTCCACGGATCAAAACGTTTGAAAAAACTTATTTCAATGGCATAGGATACGATAATAGTAGATCCGATAGCGATTGTTACAAGATACTTGCGTCAAGTTTTACAACTGAGAAAACTTGGATCACCGAGTTTGGATCCAATGCATGGAAGTTGCACCAGTTTGCATCCGAGAATTGGTGGTTGATGTCAGATTATAGTGTATCCTTGAATGGAACTTTGTATTGGATCGGTTGTAATTCCAAGTGTCGTGAATTTTTCATCACTAGTTTTGATTTTTCTACGGAGAAATTCAAAAGATATTTTTGTGCATTGCCTTGCAAGAGCGCTGAAGGCCTGGATAGTAGGTCCCTCGAGGTTTTTAGGCGAGATCGATTTTCTTATTTACATCAATGCATTGAAACAAAGGATATAGAGATTTGGGTGACAAAAAAGAAGATTGATAATAAGGATGGAGAGAGTGTGGAGTGGATGATGTTCATGAATGTGTCAGTTCCTTACACGTCGAAATTAAGAGACATGTGCTTTAGATGTCAGCGAAGTTACTTCATCGACGAGAAAAGCCTCAGTCTCGCATTGTGTTGTGAGGATTATAATGGGAATATTTGTATCTACATTGCAAAGGGAAAAATGTCTAAAAAAATTAAGATAAAAGGTGTGGATAGGCATCATTGTCTTCATCGTACGTATTTTCCTAGTTTGGTCCAAGTTCCTTCATATCAAAGAGAAGTAGAAGAAATATAAGTTTCCCTTAATTTTATTACATTTATTGGTTGTTTACTTTATAAGCTAAATGAACTCGGGTTTGGACTTTTTGTCCTGCTAATTTTTTTAGGTAATTTTTGCTAATGTACTGTATTTCCAATTTGATTCGTTTTGCAATTAGGCTGCATCAACTCAAGTGGTGTTAATCTTTGCTGGTAGATCAATCACATTGCTTTTCTTGTAAATCAAAATGTTCTCATAACTCACCTGTCGAATATTCATTTAACCTTTCGGTATTAATATGCCCCGGTCACTTTAGTGTTCATTAGATTGATTTATCGACAGGTATTAAGCAGTTACGAATTGAAAAATGAAACGTTTAAGGAAACCTAAAGGGACATTTGAATCTTCATATTTTACATCTCTTTTGGGTAATGCTTCTTCTCTTAATGACATTAGTCACATCCCAAACTGCATATTTATATATACAACACCACCCGAACTGGATCGGATAGAAAATTCATCTGGCAAAGGGACTAATCGAACATATAAACTTAAATAGATCATATAAACTTACCTAGATTAGTATAAATAGATCAGGACAATAAACTGTTATAAACATAAAAGTCTAATTTCCACACTATCCATAGAACATGAAACCAGATTTATTTATGTTCTGAATGATAAAGTAGTGGAATCCCATTTATTTTCTTAAGTGAGATAAAGGTACCATATCATATGTTGATATACTGAAGAGCAAAGGGACATGTGACTTATCTGTATGTCCAATGGCCACCAGAAAGATAATTCCTTCTTCACTTTTTAAGAGAATTCAACACATGGACCGTCAAATTTAGACTCTTATCAAAACGTGTGCAAAAAGGTTTTATATTACCGAAGATGAATCCGTCCTTCTTTTGAACATACTGAAAAATTAAGAAAATTATTTGTGAAACTAGTTGCTCGATATCTTCTACTCCTTCTGTTCTAAAAATGAAGTTAAATGCGCCAAATGTAAAAATACATTAAACGTCTACTTCTTTTTAATTTTTTTTTTACAAAATGAGAAAAAAAAAACTACAAAACACAACTCCTAACAAAATATAATATTCAAGGTTCTCAATTTTAATCAATTTTTGCATATAGAATTAAAAATATCGAAAAAAACAAATAAACAAATTTTTCTAAAACTTATTTACATAAGGGATCGAAGTATCTTTTAACTCACACACACATGCCATATAAGTCTTGCTTTTTTTTTTTACTTATCTTGCCTTTATACTATTTTCAATCATCGATTTCTTCTATTTTATAGAGATGCATATGTAGTAACTAAAAGTAGTGAGGTCACATATATCCGTAAAAGGGCACGGCTAAGAATCTTCTACATCCACAAGAAAAACATCATTTTACGATGGCTAAAATGGTCCTTATTTCGTTGTAATAAGGCTATTACGACGAACTACCGACGATTATGAAATCGTCATAAAGTCATCGTCGTAATAGACAAATCGTCGTAAAATCGTCGTATAATATACGACGGTTTCGTTTCGTCGTAACATCGAAGAAAACAAAATCGTCGTAAATGCGTCGTACAGTTTACGACGATTTTACATCGAATTGCGTCGACTTGGTCTTCGCCTGGACCGTCGTTAAGTGGTCGTTAATGGTCCACGTAAGATCGTCGTAAAATGTACGATGCAAAAATCGTCTTAAATCAATCGTAAATAATTTAATATTTTCGTCGTAAAATCGTCGTAAAGCACGAACGTATAATCGTCGTATTTGTGGTCGTACATTTTGGTCGAAAATTCGTCGTAATAGTACGACGAATTTACGACGGTTTAAATAAAGATATTACGACGATTATACGACGTTTAATATAATTGAAAATTAAAAAAAAATAATTCGAATTAAAATTTAAATTAAAAAAAAATTTACAATTTAAAATTTATTAAAATTTCAAATTAAAATTTCAAATTAAAATTTCAAATTAAAATTAATTGTAATTTACAAAAAAACCTTACAGCTCTAAATCTAAATCTATATCTATATCGTCGATCCCGTCACCGGCCTGCTCCCCATCGTCCTGGACATGTTCCTTGCCGGGTCTTCGGTTTGATGCTTCCGCCGGCGCCTGATCTCCGGCTCTAGGAGGCTCAACCCCGAGAGATCGGAACATCTCCTCGTCCGTCTGCACCGGCGGTTGCGTCCTAGTGGATGATCCGGCGGCAGACGATCCGACAACCCCATCAGCCCGCAGCTTGTCCAAATGCACCTTAAGCACCGAGTTGTCAGCTCCCATGATCTCGAAGAGACCGTAGAGCTGGTCGATCCTCGTCTCGTAACGGGTCTGCATCTGAACGATCTCCTGGCGGATAACCGGATCCGGGACCCGGACGTGACCAGTCGTCGTAGCTCTCGGGGTATCACGGATGGACCCCATCCCTAATACCCGCCCCTTGTTCTTTGGGGCAACCTAAAAATATTTAAAAAAATTATGGTTAGAAATTCAATTTAAAATTAAAGTTACATTAATTAAATATAGTAATTAAATTTACCTCTTCGAAAATCTGGTCCATCTCCGCCACCGTCAGCGCCGGGGTCGATTGGACCGAGCTACCTCCGGGAGACGTTTGACGCGCCTGCTGAGTCAGCTGCGTCTGTCGCTCCTCGATCGCCGCACAGGCGGCGTTGTAGATCTCCTCCGCCCGAGGATCCGTGAATTCGCCGTTCCGCTTCTTATGCGTCTCGGCAAAAACCTTTGTCATCGGAGGAAGTTCTCCTCCGTTATCTACGACCTACAAAATAAAAATGAAAAAAATTAGTATCGACAAATAAGGGTAAATTATTTGAAAACAAAAAAATCAGTAATTTTAATTTACTTACCATCATAAGCCGTCTTCCGGCAAAAGGAATCTGGCCGGAAGTGTGAAGTCTCTTGCGTCAAGCTTCCCGCCACAATTGAGCCTTCCACTTTAGCTAGGTTTTTGGCTTTACCTTTAAGATGCTTCATGAAACGCTCGAACGGATACATCCACCTGTACTGAACGGGTCCACCGAGCTCTGCTTCGTGTGGGAGATGAATAGGAAGATGTTCCATAACATCAAAAAATGATGGTGGGAAGATCTTTTCCAAATTACACAACAAGATTGGAATATTCAATGCCAGTTGTGATATTACATCAACTGATAATGTTCGTGTACTAAGATCCCGAAAAAAGCACCAATGCTTCCAATAGCTTCATGGACGTTTTTGGGCAAGAGTTCAGCAAATGCAAATGGAAATAATCGTTGCATAAACACATGGCAGTCATGGCTTTTCATCCCAGCAAACTTTACCCCCTTCTCAACAGATTTGGAAAGATTAGAGACATACCATCAGGAAATTTAACGTCAGAAGAAACCCATCTGAACAATGCTAACTTTTGATCTGCACTCAACCGAAATACAGGAACTGGTGCTTTCCCGTTTCTCAGTAGATGCAACTCACTTCTGTTGCATAAATCAGGCAAGTCCAATCTTGACTTACCATTGTCTTTTGTTCTTCCCGCTACGTTCATAACTGTATGCATGATGTTATAAAAAAAGTTTTTTTCAATGTGCATGACATCAAGATTGTGTCTGAGCAGATGATCTTTCCAATAAGGTAGTTGCCAAAAAATATTTTTCTTGTGCCAATTATGATGAACTCCATAACCTTCAGACATATTTGCAGGAGTGTGCCAGTTTCCCCCACGCGTTACTGTTTCCTCTGCCCTCCAATGATCGATTTGCGCCTGTATATCAGCTCCTGTTAAATTAACGGATGGAGGGACATGTACACTTTTGTTCTTCATAAATAACCTCTTGTTCCTCCGATATGGATGGTTATCTGGTAAAAACCTCCGGTGACAATCAAACCAACAAGTTTTTCTACCATGTTTTAGCTGAAACACATCAGTTCGATGAAGACAATAAGGACAAGATAGCCTCCCATGTGTAGTCCATCCTGATAGCATACCATAAGCGGGGAAATCGCTTATTGTCCACATAAGCACAACCCGCATAGTAAAATTTTTCCTCGTAGAACAGTCATATGTACGAACGCCAGTATACCATAACTGATTCAACTCATGTATGAGTGGCTGCAGAAATACATCAAGAGCTCGCTTCAGATGATTTGGACCTGGAACCAAAATACTTAGGAAAAGAAATTCCCTTTGCATGCACAAATCTGGAGGAAGGTTATAAGGAGTTAGGATTACTGGGCATAATGAATATTGTCTACCAGACATACCAAATGGACTAAAACCATCAGTGCACAGACCAAGATAGACATTCTGTTTGAACTTAGCAAAATCTGGGTATACCGTATTGAAGTGTTTCCATGCCTTTGCATCTGATGGATGAACAACTTTTCCATCTACTTGTGTATGTTCTGCATGCCATCTCATTGATGCAGCTGTCCTTTCAGATTGATAAAACCGTTTTAACCTATCAGTTATAGGGAGATACCACATACGTTGGTACGGTATCCTTTTACGCCCACCAGTTTGCGGCCTGTATCTTGGTTTTTGGCAAAATCGACATTCCTCCAGCTGATTATCATCTTTCCAAAAAATCATACAGTTGTCAACACATACATCTATCATCTCAGAAGGTAGACCAAGACTAAAAATAAACTTCTGAATTTCATAGTATGTTCCCGCTGCCAAGTTATCCTCCGGTAGATACTCATTCAGAAGATCAGCCCAATCATCCATGCAAACTTCAGCCAGGTTATGATCTGTTTTAATTGACATCATCCTAGCTGCCAACAATAATTTAGACAAGCCTTCTCTACGTCCTTCGTAGATTGGCTGATTAGCATTGTCTAACAAATCATAAAATCGTTTGGCATCTACATTAGGTTCCTCAACAGCATTACCAGTATGCGTTTCATGAAATGCATCAGTCACCATTTCGTGCATCCTATCATGATCTACACTTTGATCATATTGATACTGATTAGGCTGATGACCATAATTCGATTCATCAATATCAACATGACTTTGATA